CCGCCTATACCAAGCGCTTGAATTTTAGATATAAGTAGACCGTGGTTGACTCCATCAAAGGCTTTGGAAAAGTCAGTATAGACTGAGTCAACTTGTAGATTTTCAGTTAAGTAGTTTGTGTAAAGAGCAAGGTTGGTACAAGTGGATTTACCTTTTGAGAAACCGTGTTGTTGGAAATTGAGTAAAGAATTACAGTCCCAAGTTTCTTTGTGAGCGTAGAATCAAACATCTTAGCCGTCTCTGACTGATTGCGAACTGCTCTATATTTCCTAATATTTTTCCTATCTGCTAGTTTATGTATTGGTTTCAGGAAGCTATGTTTCCAATAATCTGCAAAGGTGTCTAGAGAAAATATTATGTTTCCAATAATCTGGAAAGGTGTCTAGAGAAAATATTTAATTGGAGATATTTCGTAATGGGATTGCTAAAGTATATAGACATTTGTGTATAATACATAAAGGTACCCCATCAGGTCCCATTGTGAGCTTAGGTGAAACAGAGAGAACGTAATCAATTATATCCGTAGCAGTAATACTGTAATTGTTGATATAGACTTTATTTTCAAAACTATATTCAGGGGTAAAATTCACTGCCTGGTTATTATATACAGTTTAAAAATAAGAGGCAAACAAACTGACAATTTCAGAAGTATTATTACAGACTTCACTTTGATAAAAGATGGCTGAAGGTAACTTATGATCATTCCTTCTACTCTGAATATAACCCCAAAAGTCCTTTGGATTATCAGAAATATTATCTTCTATTTTATTAATGTAATTTTCATAGCACTGATCTAGAATAGTTTCACAACTGTCCCTCAATTTACAGAAATAATAATATCAAATAATGTTGCCTGTTTTCTTAAATTTTTTATGAGTGTTTTTTTGTCGTAAATCATTTTTCTAATAATGATCAGATAATAGAATCGTTGGGCGTAGTATTTACATATTTACTCACGTTACGGTACGCCCAACGATGTTATTATTTTTTATCTGATCAATAGATTGTCGAGGAGAGTGGTGTGATGACTGCTGCCTAGAAACCCCCGAATTATTTTTTAGATTTCAGTCATTTACATCACTAGTTTTTCCTTCAATGAATCCGTTCAATATATTCTAGGGCCAAAAATATCACGGTTGGATATAACTTTAGTGCAGATGTGCACGCAAAAAAAGTGACAGCCCTTCGAAAGTACACAATAACAATCGATTTTTTCCAATATTTCATGAACTGTTCAATATTCTGTAATGAAAATGGATCCATAAAACCATGGACCTATAAAAATTTTAAAAAGTATGCTTGATATGCCTTGCCAATCTTCAAATTGTAGATGGTAGATGCTGGTCCCACTCAGCATCTCCCGCTGAGATACCATCGCAACGGCTTAGGCAGGGTGAAGTTGCTTTCAGGCTAACGTTTCATTGCTTTGGCGCTGTTTCCGATTTCAAGGGTGAGGATATATAGTTTAAACAACAAGTTCAAAAACATGAAAAATAGAGATGAAGGTCCTAAAAATATGAGCGATAGCTCATTCTATTTGGAATCACCTCTAGAAACATGTTTCTGAAGGATTTTGTTGCAGGTAAAAAATTGTAATCGTTATTACCAAAATAAGAATAAAAAAAAATATTATGAAATATGAATAATATTTGTATCGGGGTATATTTAGTTTGTATTTAGTTTTGTAAAGGAAGGTATTTTTGGGGTTAAGTGGAAAAGCAACAGCATAACATTCCTTGCTTCCAAATGAACTTTGCCCTTTATTATCCTCATGGGCACATTATCAAAAATCTAACTATTTTCTAAACATGTTATGGGTAATAATAAAGACTATTATTATCATCATTTCGTCCAGAAAAATGACTTGTTTCATATTATGTAATTCACAAAAAATTACTAGAAATATACCGTAACCGAAAATTAAACTTTTATTTTCTTTTATACGAACTCTCTATTAGATGAATAGGTGGTGGATTTTGCGACCCAATATTTTTTCATACCTTTGGCTACAGGAGATACAGCAACAAAGTTCACAAGTGCTGCACCAGTTCCATGTCCCACGAGGGTGATTCGTTGAGGATCACCACCAAAAGCTGAGAGATTTTCCCTCAACCAATGTAATCCTGCTATTAGATCCATCAAACCAAAATTTCCCTGAGCACTTCCTTTGCTTCCTGTTTTGAGAAAACCTGCAACATAGTTTATTTAAATTTCTGACGTATATTTTTCAAAAAAGTTTTCTTAACTTGCATGACCACTTTATTATTTCGAAATGTGTCATTCAGAGAACGAAAATTTTGAGTTTCAATTGAAACGTCAAGAAAAATACTTTGACCACGCCACTAAAGACGACTGCCGCAGTTGCAGTCGAAACGTTTGGAGATTATGACCAAAGAAGAGCACGACAAAACCCAGAAACCATCCAAAATGAAAATTTGGATATTCAAGTGACACTTTACCTCCTAGGAGGAGAAATCTGTTACATTTCCATCAGGACAGCAACCTTCTGATATTGAAGAACTTAAAAGACGATACTAATAATTGATAACGATACTAATAACTATAAGAATATCATGTCAGAAAATGGATTTATATCCTACATTAACGTACCGACAAGAGTATGTAGAGAATCAACTTCATTAATAGACCAAAATTTTATTAAAAAAACAACCACATTAATAATGTTGTCAATTGCAAATCAGCAGTTATTCATAGTAACATCACAGACCACTTTTCTACTTTCGTTAAAATAGCCATGCCATTCATAAAAATGCAATCTCCTAATAACACAGCTCTACAAAAAAAACATTTTTTGTGTTGCCCTGGATATTTTTGCAAATTTTTATGTTTTCGAGTGCCTAAATCACGAATATATTTTATGAAAGTACTGAATGTGCTCTATTTCTTATGATTTTTACGTATCTTGTATTTTCAATAATAATCGGCTTGTTAGTAAAATAAATTTATTTTCTCAGTCATGATTAGGCTTCTGCGCAACTTTTTTGCGCGTACAATCATCACGTGATCCCCACTTCTCGGGCTCCTTGCTCTGCAAAACAGCGGAGAACTCATTGTTAAATGCAGTAAGACGCATTTTAAACTTAAAGAAGTTTAAAATGCGTCTTACTGCATAATGGAAATAAATTTGCATCAATTCCAATTGCCCATTCTACAAAACTCAA